AAACCCAACAAGAGCTTAGGGGGGGCTCCCAAGAAGGCCCAGGAGACCCTCAGACGACCCATGACGGCCCAATGTGGCCCTACGACGATGCACGCGACCTGCAAGACGCCCTCGAGATCCCTGACAGTCCCCCAATGGCCTCCAAGAAGCCCTCCAGGGGCTCCCAGAAGCCTCAAGCACCTTCAACAGGCCATCACCAATCTCCCGAGCAGCCTCCAACAAGGCCGTAAGTCCCCCTGCTGCTGCTCGTATTCCAATTCTTCCTCCCCGTTCTGTTCCGACCTCACTGCGTTGCGCTCACATCTTCGAGACAGCCCCCAAGACGCCCACCAGGGCCCTAAGACAGCGTCCAGGCAGTCCAACGAAAGCCCAGGGGGGGCCTTGCAATACGGGGGGGTCCTCCCTGGTTGGTGACAAGTTAGCAGGAGGAATCTATCCCCAGACATGCGACGTCCTGATTCTTTAATACTTGTTCCCCAGAAGCCCCGACTCGTTCCCAAGGACCGGTTTTTCATCCTGAGTCGTTCTTTGACGATCCCAGGCCCCAGCGAGGGCTTCCATAGGCCGAAACTAGTGAAAACTAGTCGTCTTGCTTGTTTTTGCGACGCCATCATGTCTGCGTTTCCTCTCTTTCTCTCCCTCATCCCTCTCGTTCCCTCTCCTCCTGCTCCTCCTTCTCCTCCTCCTTCTCCCCCTGCTCCTCCTCCTCCTCCTTCTCCTGTTCTGCCTCCTCCTCCTCCTCATCATCACCATACATCGTCATACATAATCATCATCAGCATCATCATCAACATCAGCATCAGCATCAGCATCAGCATCATCATCATCATCATCAGCATCATCGTCGTCGTCACAATCGTCATCATCAGCATAAGCATCACCATCATCATCATCATCATCATCATCATCATCATCATCATCATCATCATCATCATCATCATCATCATCATCATCATCATCATCATCATCGTCGTCACAATCGTCATCATCAGCATCAGCACCAGCATCAGCATCATCATCATCATCATCATCATCAGCATCGTCGTCGTCGTCGTCACCATCATGCTCATGCTCATGCTCTCATGCTCTCATGCTCTCATGCTCATGCTCATGCCCATGCTCATGCTCATGCCCATCATCATCTTGCCCTCCTACTGCTCCTGCTCCTCCTCCTCCTCCTGCTCCTACTCCTCCTCCTCCTCCTCCTCCTCCTCCTCCTCATCCTCCGCCTCCTCCCCCGTCCTCCTCCACCTCCTCCGCCTCCGCCTCCGCCTCCGCCTCCTCCTCCACCTCCTCATCGTCCTCGTCCTCGTCCTCGTCCTCCTCCTCCTCCTCCTCCTCCTCCTCCTCCTCCTCCTCCTCCTCCTCCTCCTCCTCCTCCCCTCTCCTCCTCTCCCCGCCCCGAGGCTTGGCAGTACTTCGATCTCAAGGGCGTGGGCGGCGACCGGAAGGCGGCGCTGAGCGCCTCGCCCGCGAGCGGCGGCCGGCGCGTGCGCGTGGCGTCGGAGCCGCAGGGCGAGGAGGCCGCCTCGCAGGGGCTCTGCTGGGACGGCGAGGAGGAGGAGGAGGAGGAGGAGGAGGAGGAGGAGGAGGAAGGAGGAGGAGGAGGAGGAGGAGGGAGGGAGGCCGGGTGAGGAGGAGGAGGAGGACGGGTGAGGAGGCGGGGAAGGAGGAGGAGGAGGAGGAGGAGGAGGAGGAGGAGGGAGGAGTGAGGAGGGAGGAGGGAGGAGGGGGAGGGAGGAGGGAGGAGGGAGGAGGGAGGAGGAGAAGGGATAGGGAGGAGGGAGGAGGGATGAGGGAGAGGGAGCAAGTGGAGGAGGGAGGAGGAGGGAGAGGAGGAGCAGGAGCAGGGAGGAGGAGGAGGAGGAGGAGGAGGAGCAGGGAGGAGGGAGGAGGGAGGAGGGAGGAGGGAGGAGAAGGCAGGGAGGAGGCATGTAGGAGGAGGAGGAGGAGGAGGAGGAGGAGGAGGAGGAGGAGGAGGAGAAAGAGGAGCAGCAGGAGCAGCAGCAGGAGCAGGAGCAGGAGCAGCAGCAGGAGCAGGAGCAGAAAGGTCGGGGGATCAGGCCGCCTCGCAGAGGGTCTACTGGGACAGCGAGTTCCTGCAGCTCCTCGGCGGGCGCAAGATTCCGCTGACGCCCGCAGCCGAAGAGGAAACAACAGCATATACATAAACGTTCGGAGTTGGGTGCGAATTTCTTAGATCGGCGCTTGGCCTCCCTAAAGCGCCGCCCCGCGCGCCAGGGAGGGGGTCCAGCGCAGATCCACGAACTCCGCGCGGACCTCCGACAGCTTATGTTCAGGCCGTTGTTCCCTCTTCCACGCAGACCACAAGGCGCTGATGGGTGCCCTCGAGGAGGACACGAAGGTTCGGCGGCGAGCCTGAAGGGGAGGAAGCGCGGGGGAGCAGGCGGCGGCGGGGCCCCTCGGAAGTCCCCGCGCCCTCCGAGGAGCCGTGCCTGCGGCTTCCCACGGGGCCGTCCGTGGCCCCCCCCCCCCCTCCGGGGCTCGCCGCCCGAGAGGTGCTGGAGGAGATGGGGGTGGTGGACTACTCCATGCTGCTGGCGCGGCGGCCCCCGCCTGAGGTCAGTCTCGGTCAACCGGCCCCCATCCCCCTCCCCGTCCCCTTCGAGGCCCCCACCAAATTGCCACCCCAGTTGGGGATACACCCCTCGAAGCCCGCCCGCGCTGCTCCTAAGGGGCCCGCCGGCCGGCCGGCGGACACAGCGCGCCTCGCCTCGCCTCGCCCTCGAAGCCCGAAGGGAACGGCCTCTATCTTTATCTATAGGGGGGTAGATCAGCCAGTGGGGCCCAGGCCACGCCCCTGGGGACGGGGATCGGTGAAACGATGCTCACGAGGGCAGCCGGCGCGGCAAGCTGCGCCTGTGCCTGATCGACTACCTGCAGCCGTACTCGCTCAACAAAAAGCTGGAGTCGGTGTGCAAGAAAGTCGCCGCGGCCTCGGCGCGGGCCGGGCGGCTCTCCGGTAAGGGGGCAAAAAAGTGGAACCCCCTTCGTCGTCGACACCATGTTCGTCCCCCCCTTCCCCCCGGCTCAAAGTTGGGCTCCGGCGTGGTGGAGGCCCCAGGGGGTCCACTTTTTTTGTCCTTTCAAGCCTGCGCTCTTGAGCGACTGGGGGCAACTTCGAATGTAGAGGGAGGGGAGGGGGCAGAGTCAAGGGTTCCGTTTTTTTTGTCCATCTACGGTCCCCCTCGGCCCGCCCTTGTCCTCTCTCGAGGAGGGGGCCGAAGGAACCGGAGGAGGAGAGGGAGATCGGCGTCACCCCAACACACTCATATTATGTGTGCGTCGCCCCCCCGGGGCGACGCGCGCACCGAGACTCCTGGCGGGCGCTTTCTGGAAACACCGCTCGGGAAACGATACACTACAAGATGGGTATACTATATGTTCGAGTCGGACGCGCGCCTCCAATGCGGACAAATAGTACTAGTACGTCTCTGTGCGTCCCAGGAGAGCTTCCAGCCAATCGACGCTGCTGGCGGAGTGGCGCCCCATGGGCCCAGCCAACCCTAAGCCGAGCAGCGTCCACAGAAGTGAGCAGGAGCTGGCCCCCCCCCTTCCAGGGCCCTGTTTCCCTGGTTCATGATGGACCATCCGTCCATCCTCCCCCTCCCCTCCTCGCCCCTTGCCGCTCTCCTCCCCTCGTTCCCCCCCCCCTTCCCCCTCCCCTCCCTTCCCCTCCCCTCCTCGCCCCTTGCCGCTCTCCTCCCCTCGTTCCCCCCCTTCCCCCCTCCCCTTGCTTTCCCCTCCCCTCCTCGCCCCTTGCCGCTCTCCTCCCCTTCGTCCCCCCCCTTCCCCCTCCCCTTGCTTTCCCCTCCCGCAATTCCCCTCGATCGGCCGCGAGCCCAGGTGTGGGGAGGGGGGAAGAAGGGAGAGAGGGCGGCGAGGAGGCCTTCTCGGAGGGCGGCGAGGAGGCCTTCTCGGAGGCCCTCGCGCCCTCGGTGCGAAGGCTCCCGCGCGCGCCTTCGGGGAAGGCCTCGGGCACTTCTCGGCAGGCCCGGGGACCTTCCGAGCCTCCTGAGAAGGTCTTCTCCTTCTCAGGATCGGGAGGAGGAGGAGGAGGAGGAGGAGGAGGAGGAGGAGGAGGAAGAGAACATGGATGAGGACGAGAAGGAGGGGGAGAAGGAGGAGGAGGAGGAGGAGGACCTTTTCTCTTGCTCGCTTGCGAAGGCCTTCTCAGAGGGCGGCGGAGCTTCTCGAAAAACCATCGCGCCCTCTGATCGGGGGGGGGAGGGCGCAAAGGGGGGGGATTGGGGCGGAGGTGGGGCTGGAGGGAAACTCGCTCCAAACAGCCCCTGGAAGAAGGAAGCGCGTTAAACGGGAGCATCCAGCTGGGCCCCCAGCCCCACCTCGGGATAGCCCTCCCTCTACGAACCCCGATATGAGAAGTGTTCCGTGTCCCCGCGGATGTAGTCGTCATGTGGATTCGAGGTGTTAAGAAGTTCTGGGAGTGTTTTTTGGGGGACGATTAGAACTGCCAGGACGCAACAGTCATGTTGATTTGCGGCGTTGACTTCCCAGGAGCATTGTTTTGGGACGATTTGTGTTCTGAGACGGCTGTCTTGCAGTATAAACCTTTTCCCGCAGCGAGAATACATTATACCTTGGAGACTTGGAGAGAAGGTTTGTTACAACATCGTTGATGCGCCTTGGGTTGCACTGGTCCTCCTCCTTTTTCCTTCTCTCTGCATCCTCCTCCGCCTCTTCCTCCACATTCACCTCTTCCTGACCCACTGACCCGCTAAATGCAATGTCGTTCGACATAGCCACCCCCCGCCTCCCCCTCCTCCTCCTCTTCCTCCTCCTCCTCCTCCTCCTCCTCCTCCCTCCCCCCTCTCCCTCCCCATCCTCCTCCTGCCCCTCCTCCTCCTCCTCCTCCTCCTCCTCCTCTCCTCCTCCTCCTCCTCCTCCTCCTCCTCCTCCTCCTACATGCCCCCTCCCTGCCTCATCCTCCTCCTCCTCCTCCTCCCTCCCTCCCTCGCTCCCTCCCTCCACCCTCACTCTGGCATGTTGGCCGCCCCCCACCTTTACAACTGCCACCAAGGGGTGCCGATTTTTTTTCGCGCCCCGCACACTCGGGTGACGGGTCGACCCTTGCCGCCGCGGCGTCACCTTTGGGGGTCGGCCCCGCTCCCCACCACCTAACCCGTGCTCGTCAAGGACAGGGGTCCTCAAACTATCGCCAAGGGGGTATTTGTTTTCCTTTTCGTTGTCCTCTAGTTCACTTCCCCCCCTTCCCCGCCCTTTGCCCCCTTGCCTCAGTTCCCCTCCTGCCCGTCTCCTTTCTTCCCCCCTTTCGCCCCGCTTCCCTCCTCCTCTCCCCCCCTCTTGCCCCCTTCCCTGCCCCCTCCTCGCGGGCGGGGGCGGTGACGTCACCCTGAAGCGTAACGGTCTGGACGATTGCTCTCCTTTATCTCGTCCTTCTGCTCTGCCAGGTCGTGGCCGCGACACCCCTCAAGGCCAAAGTATCCGTATCACTCCCATGTGCGATGCAATACCGTGGATGCAAATAGCGAGGCGTTCACACCCCTATGAGGCACATGGAGGACAGGAAGTCTGGCCAGCAGGGGTTGCACAGCACGTTCCGGAAGAGCCTGTCCGGAACGTGCTGTGCAACCCCTTCGTCGTCGTCGTCGTCGTCGTCGTCGTTTTCGTCGTCGTCTCGTCGTCGTCGTCGTCGTCGTTGTCGTCGTTGTCGTCGCCCTCTTGCTGTCCTGGAGCGGGCGGTCGGGAACAGTGGCGTCAGATTGTGTGCAAATGCGTCTGCGCTTGCGCCTCCTATCCCAATCCCTGGGATAACGAGTGCGCGGGCATATTTAGTTTCGGTGTCGAAACTGTGCATGTTATCTTGGTGCTCCCCCGTTTCAGATATCCCCCCCAGGACTGTCATCAGGAACCACCTCGACGCGCGCGCCCGCGCGCGCCCCCCTCCCTCTCGCCCCCCCCCCGGGTGAGGACCGTCTCTAGGCCTTACCCGCGAGGACCATCATAGGCCTCACACCCCGCGCAGCTTCCATCATGGGGGCTGCGTGGGTTCCCCACCCACACCTTTCCATGATGGCGCCAATTGCCACCGGAGGGGGCCGAGGACCTCCCTGCAGCCCCTCGGCCACCGAAGACGGCTGCAGGGACGGGCCCAACGTACCTCCACACCTTTACACCTCTTCACCTTCACATTATGCCACCAATTGCCACCGCGCGATTTTCCTCCCTCCCTCCCTCCCTCCCTCCCTCCCCTCCCTCTCTCCCCTCCCTCCCTCCCCTCCCTCCCTCCCCGCCTCCCTCCCCGCGCCCAGGGCGGCAGGCGAAGGGCGGGCGAAGGGCGGGCGAAGTGCGGGCGAAGCGGGCCACGGGCGGGCGGCTGGGCGCCGCGCCGAGGGGCACGGCGGAGCGCGGGCTTCGCTGGCCGTCCGAGGGCCTTCCGGCCCGTCTGACGCCGTCGGGAGCACCGGCCTCGCTGGCCCGTCTGACGCCGTCGGGAGCCAGACATGATCGCGTCGTAAAAAGATCAGGACGGGCGGTTTTGGGCTATTCTCGGCCCTGGGGGGCCCTCGCAGGGCCCCAGGACCGTCAAAAAACGGCTCGGGACGAAAAGCCAGTCCCGGGGAAAGGGTCGGGACTTGCGGGGACGCCGTCCTGAAAAAATCAGGACGTCGCATGTCTGGGAAGCCGTTTGGGGGGCCTCTCTGGGCCGACTTGGGGCCCTGTTTGGGGTGCTCCAGGGCCGTCTTGCAGGCCATCTTGGGCGTCCTGGAGGCTGTCTTGGGGCCCTCTTGGAGCGCGCGGGCGCCGACAGCTGATTAGGGGGTGCCACGGGCAGGGGCAGCCTTGAGATCCTCGCGTTGCAGTTGTTTCACACTCGGCGCGTTCAGGGCTGACCCTAGAAGCTTTTTGTCCGTTTTCGTTATGTGGGTCGTTCTTCCTCGTTTTGCCTTCGCTTCGCGCGGAATGCAACACAAGACGACAAGCAGAACGGCCCTCGAGATGGCCAAAACACCGTTTAGGTCCAGCCCTGTGCGTGTTTGCTCCATTTCGGGGCCCGGGGCCCTTCCAGATCGATCTGGTTCGGAAAATGGCACGGAAAATGTGGGGCCCGAGGCGCGCGGGCGCCGACAGCGAGGGGGTTGCACGGGCGGGGGCCCGCCGGAGCTGCTGCGGGAGCAGACGCCCTCGTCCTCGCCGCCAGGGCCGCGGGCGTGGATCTCGACGTCGACGTCCGGCTCGGTCGCCGCTCCTCCTCCTCCTCCTCCTCCTCCTCCTCCTCCTCCTCCTCCTCCTCCTCCTCCTCCTCTTGCTCCTCCTCTTGCTCACCTTCTTCCTTCTCCTCCTCCTGATCCTCCATCCTCCTCCATCCTTCTCCTCCATCCTTCTCCTCCTGCTCCACCTCCTCCTCCTCCTCCCTCCTCCTCCTCCTCCGTCCTACTTCCTCCCCCTCTCCTCCCCTACCACCTCCTCCCCCTCACCCTCCTCCTCCTCCTCCTCGTCCTCCTCCTCCTCCTCCTCCTCCTCCTCCTCCTACATGCCTCCTCGCTGCCTCCTCCTCCTCCTCCTCTTCCTCCTCCTCCTCCTCCTCCTCCTCCTCTTCTTCTGGCCCAGAATCGGCCGATGTCGAGCGATATGCGCTATCGGAGAGCCGCGATGGTTCAATGTTGAACGATCCACGCGGCGTCAGAAACTCGGCAGCGAGCGAGGGGGGGAAGAGAGAAGGAGAAGGCCTTCTCAGAAGGCGGCAGGGCGTCTCAGAAGCCCTCCGGCCTTCCGAGAAGCTTTCCGTGTCGTCGGGGAAGGCTCAGAGAGCTCCTCAGAAGGCAGGGGGAATCCCGAGCCTTCAGCCAAGGCCCGCCCCTTCTCACTTACCCCTGGGAGCGCCGCCGAGAACGATCCACCCTCCACGCGGCGCCCGGGGGCAAGAGGGATGGAATGTTGTTTTG